TGAAGGCAGTGGGGCGGGGGGGACATCATTGCCCCGATCCATCCCCTGAGACACACTCTCCTGCAGACCAGGATGTCTCATCTGTGTCACCAGGTGCAGAGGTGACATCTACTCCCTGTCTTGCACAGGCATGAACAAGGGGGCCGGGGGGGACATCATTGCCCCGATCCATCCCCTGAGACACACTCTCCTGCAGACCAGGATGTCTCATCTGTGTCACCAGGTGCAGAGGTGACATCTACTCCCTGTCTTGCACAGGCATGAACAAGGGGGCCGTGCTGGCAGGAGTCATCGGCGCCCGCAAGCCGCACTACGACATCTGGGGCAACACAGTGAACGTGGCCAGCAGGATGGAGTCCACCGGCGTGATGGGGAACATACAGGTGGGGTGACGAGGGAGGGGGACAAATTGGCAACCCAAGGTGGGCCCTGCAGCCCTCAAAACACCCCAAGCTTTGGGTTGGAGGGGGACAGCGCTGCTGGGGGCACACGGGAGGGTCAGGGCTGCCTGAGGGGCTCCTCCGAGCTGGGAATGGGACAAGGTGGTGCTCGAAGAAGGGGACCCCAAGACAGTGGGGTGGGAGCCCAGCTGGTGGGTAGACCTGTTGTCCGAGTGGCACATGAGTGTCCCTGCTCCCCATGTCACGTGCCAGGCAAGGACCCACCAGCTTCCCACCATGTCAATTTGTCCCCGCAGGTGGTGGAGGAGACCCACCTCATCCTGAAGGAGTACGGTTTCCGCTTCGTGCGCCGGGGAGCCATCTACGTCAAGGGCAAAGGGGAGCTGCTCACCTTCTTCCTCAAGGGCCGGGAGAAGCAGGGCTCCTTCATCAACGGCTCCTCCGTCACCCTGCCCCATCAGGTGGTGGACAGCTCGTGAGGGTCCAGCACCCGCCTGCCACCACAGCCACCGCCTCCCCGCGCCGAGCGGGACGGCTCAGGGCAGGGGGGAGCCCGGCACCCACCGCCGGGGACGTCCATCCCACCTCCGTCCGGATATACAACCAAATTTGAGAAACCAACCCCTTCGCACGACCCTTTCCGAGCCCTCGCCGGAGGTTTCCGGTGGAGAGGTTCACTCCATCGCTCCTGCGGCTGAGCGGGAGGGAGACACGGGGCCGCCTCGGCGCGCTCCTCCT